CTGCTATTATTAATTAATTGATAAATAAATATTGATTATTTTTTAAAGACAATTTGCCTTCTGAATTTCTGTAAAAGTAAACCCGACCCCCCTTGTCTTTGTGTGCCGGTCGAACAGTAAACAGGGCTGTCTGTTACTTAAATTTGTGTAAATTTGTTGTAGAAATGAATATTCTATTGGAATTACATAGTTGTTCATTTCTATCTGCTTTTGTTTTCTCCTAACAATTGGTCAAACCTAGTGGGTACTTTCTTTTGAGCATTAGTTTATCTTCATAATAACATTGACACACAAAATCAAAAGAATGTAAAGAATTGTAGCCTGTAGAGTGAGCACAAGTTGCACAATATAGCTAATAGAGTAAAACGTCAGGTCAGACAGGATATTTTGGTGAAAAATTATCCGATCATCACAAAAATCGATAGGGATCATCTTCATAATGACATTGACATACAAAATAAAAATCAAAAGAATCCATATAGAATTGTAGCCTGTAGAGTGAGCACGAGTTGCACAATATAGCTAATAGAGAAAAACGTCAAGTCAGACATGATATTTCGGTGAAAAATTATCCGATCATCACGAAAATCAATAGGGATCATCTTCATAATGACATTGACACACAAAATCAAAATCAAAAGAATCTGTAAACAATTGTAGCCTGTAGAGTGAGCACGAGTTGCACAATATAGCTAATAGAGTAAAACGTCAAGTCAGACAGGATATTTCGGTGAAAAATTATCCGATCATCGCGAAAATCAATAGGGATCATCTTCATATTGATATTGTCACACAAAATAAAAATCAAAAGAATCCGTATAGAATTGTAGCCTGTAGAGTGAGTACGAGCCAAATGTGAACGGACCGACGGGGTGATTACAATATATGCCCATCTTACATGGAGTTACATTTCTTAACCTTCAAGATTATTATGTAGACCTATATTTACAAGTACAAGTCTATTGTGATTATAAATAGTATCTTGATCTAGATATAAACCTTCTATCTTTTGTCAGTGATCAGCATTCAAATCAGATTTGAGTTATTATTGTTATCTGGATTAAAATATCAACTTCAAAACATCAAACAACACAAATATATACTTCTCTTGATAACACTGTCTGTATAAACATGTTAAACATTGAGTTAATAAATGTTAGAAATAGTATATCTATATATCTAGTGATTCTTTACCTACCCCTATTTCTGTATGTCTTACAAACAACAACACAAATATCATTCTCGTTCCATGAATCAAGTTTCATCAATATCAGAACAAAACAAAACCATTAGAATTGCGATTTTCAAAATCTATCGACATCTTCAAGAAAAACCTAAAACTTTCTTATTTAATGATTCTTGAGTTTTATTTCATTCAGAGAAATTTATTGATCGAGCGTGCAATAGGAATTGAAAACTAATTTGCGCCATATAAGTGAACTATTATTATTATTATTATCATTATTATTTTTATCATTATTATTTTTATCATTATTATCATTATTATTATTATCATTATCACCATTATTATCATTATCATTATTATTATTATTATCATCATTATTATTATTATCATTATTATTTTTATCATTATTATTTTTATCATTATTATCATTATTATTATTATCATTATTATTATTATTATCATTATTATTATTTTTATCATTATTATTATTATTTTTATCATTATTATTATTATCATTTTTATCATTATTATTTTTATCATTATTATTATTATTATCATTATTATTATCATTATTATTATCATTATTATTATCATTATTATTATCATTATTATTATTATTTTCATTATTATTATCATTATTATTATTATATTATCATTATTATTATTATTATTATCATTATTATTATTATCATTATTATCATCATCATCATTTTTATTATTATTATTATTATCATTATTATTATTATTATCATTATTCCACCCTGTCCACTATTTAAGCTAAGTCAAGGAAAGGAACTGAAAACAATATTCAGTTGTCCATAGCAACGTGAATATTAACAGGAAGAAATGTCAGTCTGTATTAGGAACAAGTAGGGCAATAACTGTCAGGTAAATATATCAGGTAAATATGAGAATATGGACAGATTTATTAATACATAGTAAAAACACACTGAAAACAATAAAATATATATATATATATAATTAAACAGCGACATCTGGTTTTAATATTTCTCTATATAGACAATACTCCAATACTTTACAGTTGATAGAGTTTAATTTCAGCTTATTATCTTCAAAAAGGTAAATATATAGACAATTATACAGATAGTTGAAATTTAAATCTATCAGCTGGTAAACCATCTTATTTATGCCAGAATGCCAAAACACGAAGTACAGTTTCCAGTGTGGTGTCATGTACGAGATTATTGATACAGTTGAGAAAAGAGGTGTATCCTAACAGAACACCCTGTATAATTACATCTTTATACCTAGACCAAAACATCAGGACTCTGGTGTAGAGACAAAAAATCTAGGCCCGGTCTTGTGGGTATTTTTCGCATCTCCAAAGGTGTGGAGATTTTAAACTTATTCATTCAAATCGGATCTTCCAAACTCTGACTCTACACCAGCCGACAACCATCAAAATAACTATCAGAGGTTGGAATAGAGACAGATGTTTCTGACTAGTTTATATCAAGATATACAATCTGTGCACTGTTTGTTCAGCATGGTAATCAGTAGTAAAAATACAAAAGAAAGCAATTTATAAAAAAATCTAAAAATTTGACTTCATAATACTGATAGTGAATTTATGAATAATATTTAAAGTATAAGTACATGTTATTTAAATACTAGGATTAAAGTTGCGAGTAGACGTACAGATGAACGGTGTCCAGTGTGGTGTGGGGTGAGAGATTATCCATACAGTAGAAAAAAGAAGTGAACACACAAGGTACAAGTCCGGACAGAGAACGGACATGATTCGCTTCTACTATTTTCTACTGTATCGATAATCTCATCCTGTACACCGCACTGTACATGGTACATTCACACCTTCAGTCAGACAAATATCTCATACACTACACAAACAACCACAACATCTAAACAATCTGAGTTGGTAAGATATTTCAACTTAACAACAACTCCAAGATCAGTGGGGTTCAATCTAGGGAGTAATTTTTAGTGATTTATGAGGCGCTTTGTAGCCTCATATACGATTTGTGAACAATTATAATTAAAGTTGTTCTACTCAGTCAGGTAATATTCTCCATCATGATAAAAATTGCAGGAAAACCTAAGAGAATATCACAAACAGTAAGGATTGATATGGGGGAAGGGAGGTAATGCAATCAATCAATGATCCTGAAAAGGGGAAATAGAATGAAAAAGGTTGAAAATCTCTGTCTCGGATACTGAACTGAAGTATTGTAAAAGCCAAACTCATACGAGATCTTATTAATATACACAAACATATCAAGTTCAGCAGATACAGCAATATTTGTCCTAATCATGAGCAACAAAAATACAATAACTAAATAATGGAAAAATATTTCCTTTTGGTGCCTAGCTACAATAAATAATCTTCAAAAAACAACAAGCAAAGCAAAAACATTAAATATAAATAAATAACAGAAAATATATATTTGATTCTAAGAGTATATATTCATCTGTTGGTCTTACAGGTGTCATGACTAAAGAATAGAATCTTTATATAACACAATATATCTATTAAACTAAGTAAGTTTGAACCATGTTTCAATAATTATTTAGTTTAATAGGTTGTATAGATTTATTAGGTTATAGAGAGATTCTGTTGTATAGTTATGACACCAGGTAAGTTCACTGAAGAACAAACTCATTTTAACCAAGATAAAATTTATCTGAAGGTATCATTAAATAGTTTAATCAACTCTGAGTTTAATGATGTAAAATGTTATTAGCTTCAAGTTTGGGGGATTGGGGAAGGAGGCATTAAATACGTCAACGTGTCAAGTTAACTGCAGTGACACCAAGTTACCTTTGTTTGTTTGCGTTATGAGCCTCATTCTGAATTCAATATGACAATGACATAACCTAAGGTCTGTAGAAAAGGCTACAGAAAACATCCAAATGAAGAAATGAAAGAAAAGTTTGAATATAATAAATAAAAGACAAACAGACCCTCAACATGACAATATATCACAGTTACAATATACTATAAAATATATCAAATATGGCAGCTACATCCGAAAATAATGAACCTCACATTATACAGGGCAGTTTAATTAATATTAGGACAAACTTTCGTTCCGCCCCTCACTGAACTGTCTAACACTGTATAGTTGTTTCCGTTATAAGAAGAACTAACACTGGAATGTTAACCAGGGAAAGACAACTCCTTGTCTCCATTTTACATAAAATCTCCAAATCAAACACATTTTCACACGAAACATTGACAGTAAAGCATATTGTGATAAAAATTGAGACACTCAGCATCTTGGTAAGGATATGAAAATTCTACGTGAAGCAAGGCGCCAAGATAAAGTAGTTTATTTATGAGGATTCAAACCCTACAACACTTTCTTCTACACATCATAATAAGCATCGAACCATAAACGTCCAGATTTCTTTAATGATCTGTCAAAATAAAAACGTAAAATAATCATGTTTCATATGTCCTTGACGATGACCTTGAACTTCAGGATATATTTTAACCAGTTCAATTTAAATGATAGGTACTGTTGAAGTGGGGACCGTCCACAAATGTTCACCTGAACGCACAGACAATTGAAAAATTGACCATCAGTTGTTATTAATTGCTCATATTCTACTTTCTACCCAAAAAATTAAATTTAGTCGATAAGTTGATTTATTTCATGACTAAAAAATAAATATTCAATACTTCAATAGCATTTTATTCCTAATTTTATAGCCTACTGGCTTTATTATTATACAAGGAGAATAGAAACTGAAAGTAAACCCAGTATTTATTTAGTGGTGCACTGCAACATAAAAAAGGCCTGAACTGGACTCACAGAAAATGTACGACTGGTAATTAAATAATTCAACCTGAGCAGATGAAATCCAACTTATCACCATCATGAGCAGTTTCTCATTCTGAGTATTTCAGTTTTATATACTGTAAATGCTTTGAATCTCCAAGAAACCTGCCCCCAGGGCCACAAACCTTTTTTCGTACTTAGCAGAGATTTTACTCTAATTTAAAGCAACTATTACAGGTGTATAACTGATTGTATCAATTTATTCTTTAGTACACAATGTTTCTGGTATTATCACATTAATCTTCAAATTTTACATTTTCTTGATACGAGGAGCATAATGAATTTGAGTAAGAACTAAGCTGATCACAAGAAATGTTTTGTGGTCCAGGGATTATTAATTCAGTAAATATTTGTCTCACCTGATGATATCAGCGAATGATGTTAATAATGGTTTATCTAGATATTCTACTCCATGTTTTTTAGCCAATGATTTCACCAGAGGTTGAACTTTCTCGTAATTATGTCTTGGCATCGTAGGAAATAAACTGAAAATAATTGAAGAAAAGTCAAGAATATGAAGGTGGATATTAAGTGCACTATCTCTAAACACTGTCCTACCATTAAAACTTCCTTGTGCATGCTGTAATCTATTCTAGCATTTATAGTTATTGGACATTTATGGTACTAACTGTTCTATTGGACACTTACTGATGTTCTATTATACACTGACTGATGTTCTATTATACACTGACTGATGTTCTATTATACACTTACTGATGTTCTATTGGACACTTACTGATGTTCTATTATACACTTACTGATGTTCTATTATACACTGACTGATGTTCTATTAGACACTGACTGATGTTCTATTGGACACTTACTGATGTTCTATTAGACACTAACTGATGTTCTATTGGACACTGACTGATGTTCTATTATACACTTACTGATGTTCTATTATACACTTACTGATGTTCTATTATACACTGACTGATGTTCTATTAGACACTTACTGATGTTCTATTATACACTGACTGATGTTCTATTGGATACTTACTGATGTTCTATTGGACACTGACTGATGTTCTATTAGACACTGACTGATGTTCTATAAGACACTTACTGATGTTCTATTAGACACTGACTGATGTTCTATTAGACACTGACTGATGTTCTATTAGACACTTACTGATGTTCTATTATACACTGACTGATGTTCTATTGGATACTTACTGATGTTCTATTATACACTTACTGATGTTCTATTGGATACTTACTGATGTTCTATTGGACACTGACTGATGTTCTATTAGACACTGACTGATGTTCTATTAGACATTGACTGATGTTCTATTATACACTGACTGATGTTCTATTATACACTGACTGATGTTCTATTAGACACTTACTGATGTTCAATTATACACTTACTGATGTTCTATTAAACACTAACTGATGTTCTATAAGACACTTACTGATGTTCTATTATACACTGACTGATGTTCTATAAGACACTTACTGATGTTCTATTGGACACTTACTGATGTTCTATAAGACACTTACTGATGTTCTATTAGACACTTACTGAAGTTCTATTAGACACTTAATGATGTTCTATTAGACACTTACTGATGTTCTATAAGACACTTACTGATGTTCTATAAGACACTTACTGATGTTCTATAAGACACTTACTGATGTTCTATTAGACACTTACTGATGTTCTATTTGAAAGTTAAGATGTCCAGTGAACCAGTTATTGAACCAACCAGCTTGTACGTTAGAAGTTGAACCCAACTGAAGTTTAAACCATTCTTTATTCTGATCTCGATCTATTTCATTGGGTATATGATTCATTTGAGTCACCCAGACAAACCAATGACTTTCTAAAAACCTGTAGATAAATACAACATACGGGGGTGTTAACATTATAATCTATTGTAAATACAGTTTAACTATCCTAACTATCCAAATGAAGGTGGTATAGTCAAATACAGCTGATAATAATTAAACATTGTGAGCCACCATTGATCTAAACTAGCGTGTAAATTTAGCTAGCAGATTGTAATACGATAGCAGTAGGCCACCATTGATCTAAACTAGCGTGTCCTACTAGCTAGTAGATTTTAACACGATACCAGTGAGCCACCATTGATCTAAACTACCGTGTCCTACTAGCTAGTAGATTGTTACATGATAGCAGTGAGCCACCATTGATCTAAACTAGCGTGTCCTACTAGCTAGTAGATTGTTACATGATAGCAGTGAGCCACCATTAATCTAAACTATCATGTCCTACTAGCTAGTAGATTTTAACACGATAGCAGTGAGCCACCATTGATCTAAACTATCATGTCGAACTAGCTAGTAGATTGTGACATGATAGCAGTGAGCCACCATTGATCTAAACTATCATGTCCTACTAGCTAGTAGATTTTAACACGATAGCAGTGAGCCACCATTGATCTAAACTATCGTGTCCAACTAGCTAGTAGATTGTGACATGATAGCAGTGAGCCACCACTGATCTAAACTATCGTGTCCAACTAGCTAGTAGATTGTGACATGATAACAGTGAGCCACCATTGATCTAAACTATCGTGTCCAACTAGCTAGTAGATTGTGACATGATAGCAGTAAGCCACCATTGATCTAAACTATCATGTCCTACTAGCTAGTAGATTTTAACACGATAGCAGTGAGCCACCATTGATCTAAACTATCATGTCGAACTAGGTAGTAGATTGTAACACAATAGCAGTGAGCCACCATTGATCTAAACTATCATGTCCTACTAGCTAGTAGGTTGTAACACAATAGCAGTGAGCCACCATTGATCTAAACTATCGTGTCCAACTAGCTAGTAGATTGTAACAAAATAGCAGTGAGCCACCATTGATCTAAACTATCGTGTCCAACTAGCTAGTAGATTGTAACAAAATAGCAGTGAGCCATCATTGATCTAAACTATCGTGTCCAACTAGCTAGTAGATTGTAACAAAATAGCAGTGAGCCACCATTGATCTAAACTATCGTGTCCAACTAGCTAGTAGATTGTAACACAATAGCAGTGAGCCACCATTGATCTAAACTATCGTGTCCAACTAGCTAGTAGATTGTAACAAAATAGCAGTGAGCCATCATTGATCTAAACTATCATGTCCTACTGTCTAGAAGATTGTAACACGATAGCAGTGAGCCACCATTGATCTAAACTATCATGTCCAACTAGCTAGTAGATTGTAACACGATAGCAGTGAGCCACCATTGATCTAAACTATCGTGTCCAACTAGCTAGCAGATTGTAACAAGATAACAGTGAGCCACCATTGATCTAAATTATCGTGTCCAACTAGATAGTAGATTGTTACATGATAGCAGTGAGCCACCATTGATCTAAACTATCGTGTCCTACTAGCTAGTAGATTGTTACATGATAGCAGTCAGCCACCATTGATCTAAACTATCGTGTCCTACTAGCTAGTAGATTGTAACACGATAAAAGTGAGCCACCATTGATCTAAACTATCGTGTCCAACTAGCTAGCAGATTGTAACATGATAGCAGTGAACCACCATTGATCTAAACTACCGTGTTCAACTAGCTAGTAGATTGTAACATGATAGCAGTGAGCCACCATTGATCTAAACTATCCTGTCCAACTAGATAGTAGATTGTTACATGATAGCAGTGAGCCACCATTGATCTAAACTATCGTGTCCATTTAGCTAGCAGATTGTAACACGATAGCAGTGAGCCACCATTGATCTAAACTATCCTGTCCAACTAGCTAGTAGATTGTAACACAATAGCAGTGAGCCACCATTGATCTAAACTATCGTGTCCTACTAGCTAGTAGATTGCGACACGATAGCAGTGAGCCACCATTGATCTAAACTATCCTGTCCAACTAGCTAGTAGATTGTAACACGATAGCAGTGAGTCACCATTGATATAAACTATCGTGTCCAACTAGCTAGTAGATTGTAACACGATAGTAGTGAGCCACCATTGATCTAAACTATCGTGTCCAACTAGCTAGTAGATTGTAACGAGATAGCAGTGAGCCACCATTGATCTAAACTATCATGTCCAACTAGCTAGCAGATTGTAACACGATAGCAGTGATCCACCATTGATCTAAACTATCGTGTCCAACTAGCTAGCAGATTGTAACACAATAGCAGTGAGCCACCATTGATCTAAACTATCTTGTCCAACTAGCAAGTAGATTGTAACACGATAGCAGTGAGCCACCATTGATCTAAACTATCGTGTCCAACTAGCTAGTAGATTGTAACATGATAGCAGTGAGCCACCATTGATCTAAAATATAGTCTCCAACTAGCTAGTAGATTGTAACACAATAGCAGTGAGCCACCATTGATCTAAACTATCGTGACCAACTAGCAAGTAGATTGTAACATGATAGCAGTGAACCTCCATTGATCTAAACTATAGTGTCCTACTAGCTAGTAG